ATATAAAAGGGATGTAAATATCAAATTTGTAAGTCCACTCAAAAAACCAATAAGATAAAGGACATGAAAGTAAAATCTACCCTGAAGAACATGAGAATGAAAAGGCACCAAGTTAACAAAAATATTTGACTCAAATCTAATCTCCAATTAAATGTGAGTAGTAGTACAGAAAAAGGAAGTTACAAACTAACATTATCAGTGAAAAGAAGTACAAATAATGAACCAACACACCTACAAAATTGGCCGAAGTTACAATTACACAAATAGTAACTATCGTGTAAAACTCGTACATACACTGAAAATTAAACAAAAACAAAGTAATAATCAAACTATAAACACAAATTTAAATGAAAGTAACTCAGATGGTAAAAGAATTATAAAAATTTAATCTAACCTAAAATCTAACAATACCTAACCCACAAGATTACATGGAGGCGTGGTAAAAGGTGGAAGGTGCAGTAGAAAGAAATTTCCACTCAGTAGTTATACTATTCCTTACAAAAAATCATAATGTAAAAGGAAGAAATCGTCAGCGGAATTAAGGCACAAACTCCCTGCAAACTAATGCCTATAATTTCCCAGCAGACATTGTCAACCCTAAAATCTAGGTACTTGTGTCAAAACCATTGTCAATTATTGCGTGAAATTCTTCATCTGTCATATTAAATCTTGAATACATATGAACAAAGCAGAATTCGGAACACAGAACTATTTCTAAAACAAACAAGTAAAACAATGGAAATCACACACAGGAAGTCAAAACTTGAAGTTGAAACTGATATAAATTTATGAACAACAATAAAAATTTTGGAGTTACATGGAAAGGGAGTTAAAACACACGTCTACGCACTAGAATGCCAATCAAGAACGTGAAGATTGTTCTAGAATAGCTGAAGGAGCTACCTGTGCCAGTATAGATGGCACAATACAATTGGTGGAGAATAGTCACATGATCAGCACATTTTGAAATGGCACAAAACTCATGGGGTATAAAGATTGGTGTGCTGTAGCAAAAATTTCTTTACCAATGCTCAGAGGGCAGACCAGCATTGAGATAGCTTTGGGTGAGAGGGGTTAGTACTATTTCTTGCATTATATTTAAATTAATTGTAACCATAATATGGTGATAAAAATGTTAAAAAAAAGTTGGCAGATCTTGTTAGACAGGGCAGTATGTTGGCAGAAATTGGTGAAAATAAATATTTCCCAGGTCATAATCTCAGAAAAATCTCTCATTCAGCCCCAATTTCAGATAGTTGGCTGGGTTGCAGAAAACAAATATTTTTAAGTCTGACCAAAACATTTGGCATCTATGTGCTGGGGTGTATGAATACTTAAATGTAAAGTTAGGTACAGGTTGGTGTGGGGGAGGGGACAGTTGTCTTTGTACAAGCTACACTATTTAGTAGACAGTCTAACAGTGTCTGAGATTAATGTTATAAATTAGCTATGTTTAGTATGTTAGTACTTTGTGGTGTAGTGCCCACAGTGTTAATGGAAAATGTGCAGAGAAATACTACTACAGTAGAGTGATTCCAGATATGGAAAACCTATCTTATAGTAATAGGTTATGTTCTCTTAGTTTCTTATGAAAAAAGAAGAGTAAGAAGTAATCTTACTGAAGTTTACATTATTGGGGAGAGGGGGAGTTCAAAAGGACAAATGCTTCTGATTTCTGTGTGCTATATTCTGCAGATAATAAGAACACACACATTTAAGATTTTGAAAAGACAAGCTAAGCTTCAGTTAAGATAGTTTCATTTTTCTAACAGGATGATTGACTTATGGAATAAGTTGACATTGGCAGTAGTGGAAGCCAACACTGAAAGGTCAAAGGAATTTATGAGGGAATATTTATGATTTCATAAAATGTAAAGGGTGAGTTTATATTTTTTACTTCCAAGGGTTGATGTACAAGAACAGCTTGAAGGACCTAACTGTTACTCATTCCCCACAAGTTATGTTTTTGCTGGAGTGTATAAGGACTCGGGGAAACATGACTGAAGTTTCCAAGATTGTCAGAAACTTGAAATCCATAAATCCAATAAGTAATAAGACAAGACAAACTTAAAATATAAAAAACCCAAACATGACTCTAATTAATCCTTTTTTTCGAGTAGTCAGTCTATGGAATACTTTACCTTCTGATGCAATAGTCCCGACGGTACCAGGTTGTCGGTACTCAAGCATCTCTGATCATGTGACTTGAACAGTTAGAAATTCAACTGTTCTTCCAAGTATGTTCTTGTGGGAAAATTTTTTTTCACACCAAACCAAACTGTCAATTATCTGTAAGATCAAATGGTATGATGACTATGGCAATGAATCAGTTAAAATATAGACTGTTATAAATTTGATGGGAGTCGGCCTCAGAAAAATCTATTAGCAGATTATAAATTAGAGCATGTCAGAGGTAGGCGTGGAAAATGGTTTCTGAATTTTCATTGATTGCTCTTTAGCCCCATAAGATTGAAGAATAGAAAAATATAGCTTCAGAATATCGATGACAAAATTAAGGAGAATATTTTAAGTTACATTATATAGTTTTCTAGGGCATGGACAAAAAGGGGATTAAAGACATGAACAAGAAAGGAATTGCAGAAAACCTGGCAATGAACAGATATGGTTGGAAAAGGGCAACGCATGTGAAGGATGGTAATCCCTGTTAAAGATGAAAACTAAAGAAGAGGAAAAAATTATAATACATTCACAGTAGCATTCAGTCGTAGTCACTCTCCTACATTTTATGTACAGGGCACTGTTTAAAAACATGTATACACAAATTATAGGTGATCATAAATTCAGCCTTTGTTCGTTAAGTAATATGATTAATCAGAAATGGTATTTACTCACATGCATACATATAATTACACAAAGGTATATTTAGGATTTCATAAAATGTAAAGGGTGAGTTTAAATTTTTTACTTCCAAGGGTTGATGTACAAGAACAGCTTGAAGGACCTAACTGTTACTCATTCCCCACAAGTAACTTAACAGTAACTTAAATGGTATGTTTACAACATATGAAAAAAAAAGTAAAATAACGAGCTTTTACGGAAATACTTATTATGGAAAAAGGGAACATGGCTAAACTACTAAAAATTCTACTTCCAAACATTGTTCTTGATGTTGAGGAAAACAAAAAGATTTGTAAAACAATAAATTCCACGAAGGGTGGGAAAAATTTATCCATGAATTTATATTATTAATATTCACTTCTATGTACTTAAAGAAAACTAAAATCAACCTTGCAATAAGTACAGCTAATTAAATATACTTTTATATTTCTACATATAAGATTGAAATGTAATGTTTCATCAGCTAGGTTCTCTTGCTCTTAACAATATTTTCAGTTCTAATCCCAAAATATTAGGATGTTTGGCCAGCTTAGACTTAGTTTAATCCTGTATACATATAAAATTAATATTAACAATACAAAACAACCGATAAATAAAAAGTAACGATATTTGATATATATATATGTATTTTAACCAGTACTGTGAATGAAAGTAAGAAGCTAACAATGCAAAATAATCTTTATAATAAAAGTATAAAAAACAATAAATTAAAATAAAAAGTAATGACATTTCATATATTAATATTATAACCAATACTTTTAATGAAAGTAACAATAAATAAATAATCACTAAGCACTACAGTGTTTAGGGATGAGCTGAGAAACATGGCTGCTTTATTCAATCTATTACTCTATTATGCTTACAAATAACTTCTAAAGTAGAGTTATAGCCATATTTGAGCACCTAATTGTAATTATTGAGTGTTTCATAGCTTGTGAGACTCCCAACATCATTGAAAGTGTTGCTAAAGTAGAGAACTGGGAACTAACTAATCTTCATCTTTCTTTTTCATTCTCCCATGCTATCCAAAAAATGAGTGAAGTTTTTGTTATGGCTTTAGTAGAACAGAAAAACATTTTAGGAGCACTTGGGAACAGGCTAACACTAAGCAAATTAGTTCTTAGTATGTAGGGATGGACTGAGAAGAGAATGGCCACCACATTCAATCTATTACTCTATGATGCTTACAAATAACTGTTAAAATTGAGTTATAGCCATATTTGAGCACCTAATTGCCATTATCAAGTGTTTCACAACTTGTATATCAGCAATATTATTCTGTTCTTCTACCACACTTATTTTTGTTGGAAAATAATAACAAGGAAAATTAGTACTTATGAACCTACTTCAATGAAACTGTTTTTAAAAAAAAAGGAGAGGAAACAAGTAATAAACAAATTTGCAAAAATTAAGCATGATGTATGGATGGCAATGCCAAATAGTACAGAAATAAGGTCAGAATGAATACACAAAACAATACAAAAATCCCAACATAAGCAGACAGTAAGTACTGAGTCAATCTTACAAGCTTATGGTTATTAGCCACTGTAACTTGTAAGACTGTACAGCAATATTCTGGTTAAATGCTTTTATTCAAACTTGAATTCATGCAACTGCTACGAATTCAACACGTATAGATAAGAATTATTCGAAAAATTTGTCTGTATTGTGTATTCATCCCTACATCATACTTGAGTTTTGCAGGGTTTTTTTATTACTTGTATAGTAAAAGTATAACTTACTTAGCCAGGGAACACAGAAACAGTACACTACCTATCAGCTTGAAGTTGAACTGAGTGAGTTAGTAACAATATTATAAAAATTGAATTTGTTTGGGAAAAAAGTAACTATTTTATTACAATTTACATAAATATTTGGTAATAATATTACAGAGCCTTCAACTGGACAACTATATGCAATTTTGAATTGTGTTTCATAGCCTAGGTTATCTAATTCATGTTATTATTAGTATTACAACTACTATATAAAAACTACTGAGTTGTAAGTGTAATAATTTTAATAATTCTGCTTTTTACGAATGTTGGATAAACTAAATCAGTATATGGGTAAAATGTGTTTTATAACGCTTTTTTCTTCTCTTAGTTACAAATGTGATCGTTTACAGCGACTTTTAGTCTTACCTTAAAAATCCCACATGTTCACCACCATTGACCAAAATTCTTGTATTCACAAGCCATTCTGAACTGGCAGAGTCAGGAGGTACTACCTTCCCGTCAATAGAATACGTATCACCAATTAGATCTTCATCTGCTTGTGCAATATTTACTAATGAAGTCTGGACAATGAGTAAAACAGCGATAATATAATGTTCATTCATTACAAAATTTAATTACAGAATCGGTCGTGTATATCACAACACTCCACTACGAGAAATTTCAGTATTAAATACAACACACAGTGACCAAACAAAACCTTTGCGCAACAAAATATTGGTAGGTCTAGAGTGCGAAAAGGATATACACTTTACGAAAAAGTCAATATGATAATGTAAATCATTTAATCGTAATTCTATAGCTTTATAGAAATAATACGAATGTAAATGTGTGTATATTATGCAATAACCAAATACTAAATGTCAACAATTAACTGTTTATCTTCATCATAATGATTAAATGTCTTCTTTCCGTATTTTGTATACCGCGAATCCCCTTTTTTATTGTATATAATATATATATTTTCAGAGATGAGTATTAAAACCACTCTTTAACAAGTCAAAATGGCAAATGAACAAAGTATTACATATATTTTATTGCTTACTTTCACAATTAATTAAAACAATAAGCAAAGGCTGAATTGCTCTTTTAGTTAAAGATTTTTCAAACATATTCCCATCCTAACTTATGAAGTGAATCAAGTGGCAATTACAAAAACGAAGAGTTTACATTATATATCACATACCATCTGATGGCTCAGAAAGCAAGGGTTGCAAAGTTCTTTCAACTGAGTTTTCGAACTCCTAGCTATCATTTTCAGTTACACAAACTGTTAATGAGCTAAGTATCATATATGTACACTCCAATTCTATTGTTGCGTCAGCGAGGTCGCGTGACTAGTGTCACGCCACTTCTCTCGAACCTTCGG